ATGACTCAGCAAGTATGAACGAAAATGGAGTGCGCGAGGTGATTAGTTCATTATACTATAAAACAATAATTTTAACTCACTGGAGAATTGTGGCATGTTGAAATTAGCTGTTTCTTATCGCTACTCTTTGGTCTTCAATATTTTGACTACAAATAGGAAAAGACTGAAGGATTTTTATTTCATTCGAGAAAAAAAAACAATTTCAGGTAACGTGTGCATCTGCTTGTGTGGTTGAGGATGCACTTCGACGATGTGACGCTGGAGGTGTTTCCGTGTGCTCGTTTGGCAGTGATGTTAGAGTCATAAGCTCATTCGGTGACCAAATGATGCTTGGGCCAGAATTGTTGCAAAAGGTAAAATTCCCAAGATTCTTGTGGATTCTCTCTATCGCTTTACTTTCAGCTCTCTTTCGACCAATCATCTACTGATCTAGTCCTGCTTTTGAAACATGCTAAGCAAATGCTCTACAATGTGAGAACACCAACTAGTGAGCAACTACTTATAATTATCTCAGACGGACGAGGAGCACTGGCGCAAGGAGCGGACAAGGTGAGAGGAGTTATAATGAAAGTACAGAGAAGATATTTTCCCCAAGGGATGAGAAGAGAAATTGAAAAAAAAATTTACCAAAGCACATTGCGACACTCGTTTCAAACAAAATCTGTGCAAAAGTTTCTAAAAAATGGAGATTGCAACTGAATCTACAATTTGAAAGATAGAGCCTGAATGTATATATAACTATCACTTCTTTGCAGATCAAGACCGCTTTGTCGGCACTCCAAGGTGTAACCGTCCTGTTTGTTATATTAGATTCTGGCCCAAAATCAATCACTGATCTGTCGGTAGCTTCTTTCCAAGGAGGAGATGTGGTATGGATGTTTTAATAGTTTTATCTACCATACCCGAATGATCCTTTTAGACGTTGACACCCTACTTGGCTGTCTTCCCTTTCCCATTCTACACTATTATCAAGAAAATTAGCCAATTGCCTCCCGTTCTAACGGAATCTATACGGCAGTGGTTTGAGATGACGGTACGTACTAATTCTATCTAATTTTGATATAATCCAGTTAGCATTAGGACTGCTTGTTGAGTTTAATTGTTTTTTTTTTCACGCTGTACATTCAATTGTTGATTGTTGCTTTCCATTGTTGAGATTTTATTGTTGAATTTGAAGAATTTATTTGCGAAAAACTTGAAAAAACTACGTTTTTGTTCTCGCTATGGGTCTCTTCTTTGACGCAGGAGCTTTGGTACGGGGTATTGTTGCTCTGTGAAGAATGTCGCCAACGTCAACAACATGTTCAAGGTGTATATACCTATAAAATGACGACATCAGTGACTAAGAACATCTTATTTGGGGGAAGGGGGGTGGAGGGGAGAAGATATACACGCACCTGAGATGTCGGCCACAGGCAAAAAATTCTTCAAATTTGCATGCTTGCCGAGCTCGTATTAGTACTGCGTTGTGAATCCTCAAATTCAAATAGCGATCGCATTCAATTAACTTTCCTGAAAAAGAAGATGAGAGAATATCCAGAAAATTTATGAAGGTAATGTTGGGTTTTAAACATGAAGTTGATATAAGTATAGAGGATTATCGCAAGCAGAGACAGAGCGCATTCTTTATAGCTTGAATCGCTGGTCACTAATCTGCTTTCACTATCTGCGGAAGGCTCTGGACGCCGAGTTGTCAGCGTTTTCTGAGTTGAGAGGGTGGACGCCAACTGTGACAAAATGATCTAGAATTGCTCGAATGGCTATACATATAGG